ATATATATAATTAATTTAGAAGTCTCATTCTTCACCTTTTACAGTATGTTCTTCACTTTGGTCTCAGTCTTAGTCATTTCTAACGCTCAGTTCCTCCAAACATGTTAGACTGGAGGAAGAATAGATTTGTATGTGGTGTACCGCTTAACAGACAACCTAGAAGTAACAAATAACGATTATGAATCTTTTTGCAACGCTTTTAGTGAGATTGTAGGTTTAATTTTCTTCTCCTGGCAGAGTTTGGCGGGTAAAGCGCTGCTCTTTGTTTTGAAGGCCTCAGACATGTAACTTAGCACAAAAGAGCATATTTACCCTCTAGCGTACTGTAAATAGCAAACCGCATGTTTGTATAGCCTCTGAAAACATTTTTAAAGCTATTATGCAAACAGGTTGTATAAAAAGTAACAGTGGTCATGCACTGTCGCAAGGCAAACAAAACCAAGCAAAATCACTCGCACCCATTCATTTTGCTCAAACACATTTGGAGTTTATCTAACAATACTTGTTTTTTTATGAGAAAAAATGTCTCATCGGACAGAAACGAAACGGGCTTTATCATGGCGGCGGCAGATAAACGACACGTGCTGGAGGAAGATGAGGATGAGGAGCAGCGAAAGTCAGAGCAAAACGATGTTATTGCAACACAAGAAAGTTAAAAATGAAAAGTAAGCATTCGAACGAAAATGAAATGCTGGAAGTACCTGAGTGAGAGCTTTTCGCGGACCATCGCGGGAGACTCCGGATGGGGTAAAAAGTACGACTGTACTGTACGACGACCGGAAAAAGAAACAGCAGGGAGGAAGAAAAAAGAGGAGAGACCGTTTCCACGTCGCTCGCAAGACAAGGGGAAAAGCAGAGAGAGAGGTGTGCGAGCGAACAGCCCTTCTTACACGAACCCCTGCCAGCGCTGAGCAGATTCAGCTATGCCCTCCTATTCGCCTGCCCACTTCAGCCCCGCTGCCAAGAGAAGAGAGGTCACAACAGCATGAGAAAGGAAAAGAAAACAAGGCGGCAACTCTTGAGACCACCTTGCGGCTCGCTCTTTGGCTTCGTCTGTTGTTGTTGGGTTAGCAGCCAGTCCTCCATGTTTAATACCTCTATGGGTGTTGGCACAAAATGCTAAACACCGTCACCTGGCTCGGGCCTGGAGGCGAGGAGTGGAACTTGGTCCGAAACCAAGCGAAATAAGCAAATCTCAACCTATCCCTCAGGAGCGGGGCGTCGCTTAAAGAGAAAATGTTGATATCAGGTACATGTACTTACTCAGAGTGCCAAATCACGATCTGACACACGTCCTGAAATAAAAAGTTAAGGCTCCCGAAAGAGTCTTTTGTCAGCGTTTGGCATCTGTCCCAGGTACAAGCCTTTCGATTCCTGTTTTACAGAAGTCATTCGCTGCATCTTTAGCTGTCCTCCCATTGCCTGCATGCTTCATGCAATATATGTTGGATGTTTATCCATAGGCATTTGTGCTCATCAACTTTTGTTCGTGCCTTTGCTATGTGCATGTTCAAATTGAATTAAAAGTCGGGATCCTGAAAGCAAGTCCACGATTGTCAGCTTTCCCAGGTGAAACCAATTCAAGCTTCTTTTTTGAAAACTTTGAGTCCTTTTCAAAGAGTTCTTGCTGTGCCGAAGCAGGAGGGCAGAGTGAGAAAGTTAAACCCGAGGCGCCAGGACAAAGAGAGCGAGACAGAGACTTGTCACAGCACTTGTGGTCAAAGTTTGCGGTAATGCTGTACTATATCCTGCTCAGCTGTGGAGAAAACACGACGCAGCCGGACCAGTGCAATAATCCAGCGTCACCCTGCCAAAAATTGTGCTGTCTCTTTCCTGACGGTGCAGAGATGGTGACAGAAAGAGAGAGAGAGTTGCAATCGTCCTGTCTTCCTCTCCTTTCAGGCATTGTCATGGGCAGCACAGTGTGTGACGTCAGCACCCCCCTTTCGTCCTTTTGTTATTTGTCCATTTATTTCTCAAAGTACTGTCCTCATGTTGCATTTTCTCCCATTTTTGCTCTGTAAACTCTCTGGAGGGAAAGAAAGAACCATTTCTTGACGCCCGACTTGGGGAGAGAGAGGGACATGGATATAAATAAAGCACAAGAGCGCAAGTGAATAGAGAAAGAGAAGCTGCCCTTACAAATCTCTCAGTCTGTCTTCCTGCCTTCCGACCGGAGCTTGTAAACCTTTCAGCTATGGCGTCCAGGGCCGGCCTCCATTGGCACCGGTTCAAGAAGAGAGCTGGCTCCCGCTGACTGTTTCGGAGGAAGACAAGCTCACAGAGAGAGAGAGAGAAAGGGGGTCGGGCTGGTACCCATGAGGAGGGTGTCGGTACGGACAGTAGGTCAGGGTAAGGGGGGCGGCAGAGGTGGCACATGTGCCAACGGCAGCTGCTCTGGCAAACAAATATATATATATATATATATATATATATATATATGGATGTTTTTTATTAAAATCTAGATTTTGAATTACAGTACAGAATTTTAATTTAATCTGCATATATATACATATACATACATACACACACACACGTTTCTCAGCAAGGCTGCATTTATCTGATCCAAATTACAGTTCAATAAAATATATAAAATACATATATTAAATAAAATATAATATATATATGTGACCCTGGACCACAAAAGCAGTGTTAAGTCGCTGATATTTGTAGGTAGCAATAGCCAAAAATACATTGTATGGAATCGTCCTGTCTTCCTCTCCTTTCAGGCATTGTCATGGGCAGCACAGTGTGTGACGTCAGCTCCCCCCCTTGCGTCATTTTGTTATTTGTCCATTTATTTCTCAAAGTACTGTCCTCATGTTGCATTTTCTCCCATTTTTGCTCTGTAAACTCTCTGGAGGGAAAGAAAGAACCATTTCTTGACGCCCGACTTGGGGAGAGAGAGGGACATGGATATAAATAAAGCACAAGAGCGCAAGTGAATAGAGAAAGAGAAGCTGCCCTTACAAATCTCTCAGTCTGTCTTCCTGCCTTCCGACCGGAGCTTGTAAACCTTTCAGCTATGGCGTCCAGGGCCGGCCTCCATTGGCACCGGTTCAAGAAGAGAGCTGGCTCCCGCTGACTGTTTCGGAGGAAGACAAGCTCACAGAGAGAGAGAGAGAAAGGGGGTCGGGCTGGTACCCATGAGGAGGGTGTCGGTACGGACAGTAGGTCAGGGTAAGGGGGGCGGCAGAGGTGGCACATGTGCCAACGGCAGCTGCTCTGGGAGTTCAGACAGGGAGCATGAACCAGAGCAGAAAGAGGACACTCTACATCCCAAAGTTCTCCATTACTGGTGATGCTCTGCACTCTTAAAAATAAAGGCTGCAAAAGGGGGGTTTCACAACGATGCCATAGAAGAACCATTCCTGGTTCCCCAAAGAACCGGTTCATAAAATAAACATTTTTTTCTTAGTGTGAAGAATGTTTTTAAATTTAAAAAAATATATTTTTTCCACTATAACAAACCTTTTGTGCAATGGAAAATTGCATGGATGTTAAAGGTTCGTCACTAGACTGTCAATGCCAATAAAGCAACTTTCTTTTTAAGAGTGCAGGACACTCTTCTGTGCACCTTCTGCAAAGTGACATTGTAAATCTTCTTATATTTCATGGAAAAACTCTTTATTCTATACTATAGCCCTTTTTGAATGCATGTAATTATAACATTCAAAGAAATGTATGTAAAGATTATTTTTAACTAGAACAGCAAAGTTTATCAAGAAACGTGTGACAAAGATTGAATGTTGGCTTGACTTGTTTCAAGATAGATAGATAGATAGATAGATAGATAGACAGACAGACAGACAGACAGACAGACAGATAGATAGATAGATAGATAGATAGATAGATAGATAGATAGACAGACAGATAGACAGATAAATAGATAGATAGATAGATTCCAAACTATGTTCTAGAGCACATGACATATACACTATGTTCGTGGTAAGATTTTTGTAAGGTTTCTTTAATGAATAGAAAGTTCAAAAGAACAGCATTTATTTGAAATTTGGAAATCCTTTGTAACAATATAAATGTATTTATTGCCACTTTTAATGCTACCTTGCTGAATAAAAGTAATTTCTTTAAAAAAATTAATAATTTGCACCGACCTAAAACTTTTGAACAGTAATGTACAGCAATAAAGGTTTTCTGAGTTCCCATAATTCCACTCAGATGGCAGCATCCAGGTCATGTTCATCCAGGACTGCTTGCACCAACTCATCTGACAGTGCTCTCTATGGCAAATTGGCTCTGATAGGACAGATAGTTTTGCCTTTTTCTGGGAGACCTCGCCAAATGGCCCCAACTGCCTTAATGACACATAATGGCTGGAGCTAAAGGACGGCTGCTGGGGAACATCCTAGGCACGTTACTCGAGCGCTGGGGGGACGTTGCAGGGTCTAATAGTCTCCTCGGCGCCAGCAGCTGAAGGACGTGGCCTCTCCCACAAGAGCTATTACCCAGAGTCCCTCCACACTGATGTCATCCTGTGTAACGCAACGCTGAAACTGCGGAGAGAAGTTCTGTTCACTTCCCCCATCTGTATGCAGTGACATTCATGTGAAATAAGGACACAATGAAAGCCACTTGCTTTTAGCAATACCGTCAGAGGCTTGTCACCTGCTTTGCAAGTGTATAACTGGGCAGGCTTGGTGACTTTCAATGCAGTCCTTGCACATTTCTCATTTACACATTAAATTAACTGAGAAAAGAACTTTGCAAGACATTTCAGCTGGGATTTCTGTGGTTACATTGTTTGCATAATACGTCATTGTGCTGGAGCACAGTTTTTTGTACATCCCATGCCTTCATTGTACACTTTTTGTCTGTGTAAAAGTCAGACTTGTTCGAAAATGTTGAAAAGGTTTTAAAAGAAGGGTTAAAATAAGGTTTATAGGACTTACAGATAGATAGATAGATGATAGATAGATAGATTGGGTGGTTGATAGGATGTATTGGGGTTGCTAGATGGTTGCTTGGAGTTGCTAGGGTGTTCTAGGCATTGCTCTGTGGTTGCTAGAGTGTTTTAGCAGTTACTGGGTGATTGTGAAGGTGTTTTGGGGTTGCTAGGGTGTTCTAGGGGTTACTGGGTTGTTGCTAGGGTGTTCTAGGCATTGCTTGGTGGTTGCCACGATGTTCTGTGTGTTTCTAGATGGTTGAAGGGGGTTGCTAGGTAGTTGCTAGGGTGTTCTAAGGGTTGCTAAGTGGTTGCTAGTGTGTTTTGGGAGTTGCTGGTGTGTTCTACGGGTTGCTAGTTTGTTTTGGGAGTTGCTAGGGCGTTTTGAGGGATACTGAGTGGTTGTCAGGGTGTTCTGGTGTTTGCTAGGTGGTTTCTAGGGGGATCTAGGGGTTTCTGGGTTGTTTTGGGGGTTGTGTGGTTGAAATGATGGTATGGAGGTTGCTAGATGGTTGCTATGGTTCTTTGCATTTGCTAGGTTGTTGCTGTGGTGTTCTGGGGGTTGCTAGGTAGTTGCAAGTTTTTTTTTAGGGGTTGTTAGATGGTTTTGAGGGTTTCTGGGTGGTTATTAGGGTGTTCTGGGTTGCTAGGATGTTCTAGATGTTTCTGTGTTGTTTTAGGGGTTCCATCTGTATGCAGTGACATTCATGTGAAATAAGGACACAATGAAAGCCACTTGCTTTTAGCAATACCGTCAGAGGCTTGTCACCTGCTTTGCAAGTGTATAACTGGGCAGGCTTGGTGACTTTCAATGCAGTCCTTGCACATTTCTCATTTACACATTAAATTAACTGAGAAAAGAACTTTGCAAGACATTTCAGCTGGGATTTCTGTGGTTACATTGTTTGCATAATACGTCATTGTGCTGGAGCACAGTTTTTTGTACATCCCATGCCTTCATTGTACACTTTTTGTCTGTGTAAAAGTCAGACTTGTTCGAAAATGTTGAAAAGGTTTTAAAAGAAGGGTTAAAATAAGGTTTATAGGACTTACAGATAGATAGATAGATGATAGATAGATAGATTGGGTGGTTGATAGGATGTATTGGGGTTGCTAGATGGTTGCTTGGAGTTGCTAGGGTGTTCTAGGCATTGCTCTGTGGTTGCTAGAGTGTTTTAGCAGTTACTGGGTGATTGTGAAGGTGTTTTGGGGTTGCTAGGGTGTTCTAGGGGTTACTGGGTTGTTGCTAGGGTGTTCTAGGCATTGCTTGGTGGTTGCCACGATGTTCTGTGTGTTTCTAGATGGTTGAAGGGGGTTGCTAGGTAGTTGCTAGGGTGTTCTAAGGGTTGCTAAGTGGTTGCTAGTGTGTTTTGGGAGTTGCTGGTGTGTTCTACGGGTTGCTAGTTTGTTTTGGGAGTTGCTAGGGCGTTTTGAGGGATACTGAGTGGTTGTCAGGGTGTTCTGGTGTTTGCTAGGTGGTTTCTAGGGGGATCTAGGGGTTTCTGGGTTGTTTTGGGGGTTGTGTGGTTGAAATGATGGTATGGAGGTTGCTAGATGGTTGCTATGGTTCTTTGCATTTGCTAGGTTGTTGCTGTGGTGTTCTGGGGGTTGCTAGGTAGTTGCAAGTTTTTTTTTAGGGGTTGTTAGATGGTTTTGAGGGTTTCTGGGTGGTTATTAGGGTGTTCTGGGTTGCTAGGATGTTCTAGATGTTTCTGTGTTGTTTTAGGGGTTGTTGGGTGGTTGATAGGAATGGTATGAGGGTTACTAAGTGATTGGTAGGATGTTTTGGGCGGTGCTAGGTGGTTGCTAAGGTGTTCTAGGCATTGCTCTGTGGTTGCTAGGTTGTTTTGGGGGTTGCTAGGAGGTTTCTTACTTTCTCAAATCTTATCTAAATTAAATCTGATCATTCAGTACAGTTCTAAAACACGTCTGCTGAACAAGCTGAATGAATTTAGGTACTGTTCTTATTTGTTGCACATCCAGTTTTCAAGTAGACGTTGTGGAAGTGCAACTCTTGAAGTAGATGTCAGTTTAAGACACTACATATACATGTGCCTTTTATGCATTATTCATCATCATGAGC